CATTCATTTCTATATAATTCTAATTACATTTTTTTTATTGATTTTATTCTTATTGAATTTCTTATAGTGTATAGTACTGTAAGCTACTACAATTACCTTGTATTCTTAACACTTTATATGAAAATGTCATAAACAGACAATAATATAGTATTGTTTAGATTTTTATAGTAATTTATTGAATGTTGGTCTTTTACAGAATACAGTATATTTATTTAAAGTCAAATACAGTAACAGTAATATAGACAGTACAGTATGCCATATGATTTGTTTATACCCCCGTTCAGCAACCTTTCTAGCCCACGACCCAAATTATATGTTAAGCACTCGGACGCGAGTTATCAAACCGGAAGCCAAATTTCTCATCTGAATTTCAAGGGGAAATGATTGAATATGGTATTATTATTTTTTAAGTTTGAGTGAATTAAGTCAATAAATCACATCTGTCGTTTTATATATGCGCGAGGGGTATCAGAAGAACTCACTTGATTCTTTTAGCAATCGACTAAAAATATGGATTAGGCCTATGCGAAGACATAGACACATTAAATTAAAGAGAAAAATGTTTTGTCCTAATAATTTTCAACTGAAAGCCTAACACACTGAAAGGAACAAAAGTAAAACTTTCAAGTTGTCATACCTGAAGTACAAATGTTTTGATAACATAAAGCGCTTTGTAAACCTAACACTATTAACAAATGAAGCTATGACAACAAATGTATTACAAATATAAACTGCACTTTTTGTTTACTGTAATTTGATTTTGTTGTCCTTGTTCGTATTAAGTATAGTTTTCATGATCTTAAAAAGACGATCCGTTGGGTCTGCATCTTCGCGTGCGTTCTTCGTCGCGTCGCCATCGCACACAGTGAGTAACCGGCTTTGCAGAACGTGATACACTCTTTGGAAAAGTGTAGGATATTGTCTCCTGGTGTACGGCCCAATCACCACCAGAAGGAACCTACTGGAAGCAAGTCGTCTTCAGACTTTCTTGGGTTATCCTTGGTGTGTCCAATTATACTGTATTAATTCCAAAAAGAACTGCCAAGTACAGTATATACAGTAGACCGTCTATACTAGTGAGGAAAAAATGCTGGTACACTTTAATGACTGTTAATTACCTGCAGAATACCTGCACATCATTCAGTAGAATGTCTTTTGACTGTAATAATGAGAATTTATTGATAATTCTTAAAGTAGTGATTCATCTGACGGCTCACTGAGTCTTAATGATTTGAGACCAAGATTTGAAAATGGGAACATAAAGGCTCATTGAAGGGAAGGGTAAGGAATAGACCTTGACTCATTGTTAGTGGCGGCGTTACGGGGTGAGGGAATCACAGTTCGTTGGGGAGGAGAAAAAATGTATTTTCTACATTCTAGACTGTAAATTCAATTAAGCCTTTGGAACCCCTAAATTGTCATATTTTTGGTGGGCTTCACCCCCCAGACCACTTCACAAAGCTTTTGAGCGATGTCCAACCACGGCCACTTTGTTCTTGTCGAGGACATCGGTCGTTTCCCTCTTTGGATCCATTCTTGTGCACAGTGTACTATTACAGTATTGGAAAGCAGTATGATGATAGTCTCTACAGTAAGGCCAAAAAAAAAAAGTTCTTGCGTGTTCTCAATTTCGCACATTTTGGGTTGGTTGGGCATGGCCAACACAAAGTTGTAGTGGTTGGTAGACTAGTGGAAGTGAGAATAGAATAGTGAGGTCGTACAGTACATACTGTAGTATTAGTGGAGGTGTGTTGTGTCCTGTTGCTGGATTTGAGTGTTCAGATACATTATATATACAGTAAATACAGTCTGTACCTTAGAGGAAGTGGTTAGTATGAATGTCGGATTATTGAATTTAACACAAGGTCAGTGTAAGACACTGTACATCACTTTGTTTTAAATTACCGTATTATTCAAATACAGGATCAGGCCAAATGGCCGACTTGAAATATTTACCCCACTAAAAACATGCTTTTTGCAACTAACGATAGAGTGAAAAGAGTAAAAACGATTGTGTAAAATATGTCTGATTTTTGCAACTAACGATAAAGTGAAAAGAATAAAAACGATTGTATAAAGGAGGTCTGATGAGTCTTCAGTGTTTCCAAGAGCTTCCAAAAGGCGAAATTAACATGGTTTACTAGCCACTTGCGGTAGTTGTTGATTCTTATTGCCGCACACTGTATACTACTCCTTGTCATATGACTGGAATTCATGTGACATATATATATATGTATATTGTTTTGTTGGTGAGAAAGAAACCATACAGTTTGTAAAACATGTTTTACTAACAAAATGGTGATGTAATTTCAGCAGTGAAAACCGATTTTCGCAGTTGCAACATGCGAGCAGGCTGTTTGGCACTCATTAATAAAGCGGTTAAAAAAATTGATTATTTTGTGTATCAGTAGAAACACGCCCCTTGTGTCATAACTAAGAAATTTTGAATCTTAATGTTTGAGTTTTGCCTGTGGCAGTGGTCGCTCCAAAAATTCGCCAACATGGAATGGGGGATCAACCAAGCCTGCCACTCAGGTCCAAAATATAAGGTATGCCATTCTTTTGGGTATAATACAATAATTTGAGGAAACTACAAATCAATTAACAACAATTCTAAAAAAGACAACTCGGAAGAATGTCAAAAAATAATTGTATTTTCGAAATTAGAATTTCCATTACAGTATACAGTATAATGTAAGAATCCGACAATGGTTTTCTTTAAAATTACACATAGTTTATACTGTAAGATTAAGATAATGTAATGTCATACGTATTATATAGTGGACGTGAACATTTTTAATGATGTTATTTATTTCAGTATAATCTTACATAATGTTACATGTACACAATCAGTGGCATACAGTACTGTACCTTCTTTGATAGTCAGGTATACAGTAGCTATGCATTCAACATTCAAAAATATACACTAGTACTTTTAATTAATATACTGTGCAGTATGTACATTGTGAGAGAATGTTAAATATCTGGAACAGTAGGTCAGAATGGTATATTTTCATAGTCTGTACAGTATTGTAGGTTGGCTATCTTTCTTTAAGAGTAGGCCTGCAGGCTACAGTTTTGCGTCTTCATTAACTTCCTGTGGTGAGAAAAGGGATGTCCTCAGGTTAAGTCATACTGTATGGTATAATCAGTCCTATTATTTGGGGATCAGCTCATCAAATATACATTACGCATCTGATGATTCTGTGGTAGAATAAAAAGTTGTACAGTAAGATCAAAGAAGTATGAGACAATGAGGTCTGTATAGACCCCTTTACACTACAGTAATCTTCAGCCTGCGCAGCAACTAGAGCGCGAAAATTCTGCAGGAAAACTTAATGCAATGATCTTCGCTATGCTAGAAATGGAAGCTACACAAAAATCATGATATTTAAGGGGTAAAGGTAGGAGAGCGTGAAATTGGGCCCAGAGAATGAATCTCATGTCGCATGTGTGAGACTTGGTGGCTACACTTCCATTTAATAATATTAAATATCTTTTTCAAACCTTGCAGTAGAGGCCTACTGTGAATAGCAGTTCAGTGTGACGAAGTTACCGTACCGAAGCTAGGTCATCTGAATCATATTAAAATATTATGTTTCTCCCTACTTACTGTTAATTATTTGGACTTACAATTACGTAAAGTATTCATCATATACTAATAATGAGTTTACTGTGTCTTCATTATTTTTGGTATCTTTTATTAGATATTCCCACCATTTTCACAATATTAACTAAATCAACATCATAAGAAGTATAAAATCTCAGTGGTCCAGCAATTAGCTGTTTTTAAAATCGACACAGTTTCACACTTCAGCGTGCAAGCAAATAGCACCTGCAAACTCTTCCATCTTTGGAAATTTCAGAATATTTTACATATTTTTACAGTATAAAGGCCTGTTTATACTATAATGATAATGATAAAAAAGCGATTGTTCATGTAGAAAACAAAATAAATAAGAGAAGTTTTTACATTAGGACGATTCGATAAGGATTTATTGTGTATACGATAACAAAATATTCTAACAAATCAATCATGATTTATAATTATATTCAAAAAGATAACATTTAAAGCAAAACAAATATTGACATGCAGAAAGGAATAACAAGGTTGTGAAAAAGTATTGTTAATAGAGATGACATCATAATCATTAAACCACCATATGACATGTTCTCATACTGGAAGTAAAAATGCCCCAGAATAGATACAAACATTTTGAAAACAAATGTCTCTATACAAAAACAGATACGCGAGAGATTAGCAAAATAATTATGGTGATACAGTACATCACAATTAATAATGATACTGCCTAATATAAAATCAATGAGCACATGCAAAGTCGCAAAGTGATTAACACAGAATTCATTTGTCAGGTGACATCTAAATGTCTTGTTTTTGCAGTACAAACCAGGTGCTGAGAAACATTCATATATTACCAACCTATTTTCAGATTCAGGTTCGATTTTATTTTAACATCTCATACATTGTACAACATGATATTTTTTTTATTTTTTTTATTTTTTTTTTTTTGCGTGTTTGCTTGTTTTTTTTGTTTTTTTAATTTTCGATTGTACTGTAATAGCCATAATATTAATTTCTTAACATTGTACTCTTAATTTATTGATTGATTGATTGATAGGTACTTGATACATACAGTATCATTGGTTTTGGGAAACTTTTTATAAAAAAAATTATCAAATAACATTTTTTTATATGGATTTTATAAGACTGTCTGCTAAAACTAGCTATATCAATAATTATGTAAATTTGATTTCATTCCCAGCCTAATCATCAGCTCACACTCAGTGGTCTAGTGGTATGGTACCTAGCTTGTTTCTGTGGATGTCATGTATTCGATTCCCATCTGGATAATTTGCATTTTTTTTTTTGCTAGTGATGAAATGTACTAAGAATCCTCAGGTCATTTTGTTGGCAAACATCACTGTTACTTGACATTCCCTGACACAAATATTTAGTTGAATATTATTTTAATTTGTTTAATTATTTGTGTCATCTACAGCCAATGTTACACTGCTACTGCAAGCTCTGATCCATACCATGATGAGCAGTGACTCTGTGTTGTTGTTATAACCTGCTGTATAGTCTGCCAAGGATGGTTAACAAATACCATGTAATAGCAAGATGCATGGTAAGTACTTAGTGTCACATTCTCAAAAATTACTTCTACCTCTTGAAGATGTGTAAATAAAATGTATTTTTTATTTCTACTATATTATATTATCAGTTATTATTAATGTTTGACAAGCATAGGCTACAGTCACACTAGAGTCTCAAGCCTGGCTTGACTCACTGCGGGTGTGATTTTCGTAATGTGACCGCACCTGGATCGACTTGCGCCTGGCGTGACCTCGATCTCAATCTACCTATCTCGATCCCGGCTCAGTACCCAGATTGACCCTGGATTGACCCCGGTGTGACCGGGATTAACATTTCCTCGTTGGCTGCCGACCAATCACAGTCGATGACGATGTTGCGTTTAGAAGTTCTTGAATAAAAAACCCGTGTGTTCTTCATGTGTGTATTATAATAAGACGCAATCATCAGTTGTCATTTATAAATGCACTTATCAATCCGAAAACTAGCATCGCCATTACATCCAAGCCTAGGCCTAGATCATCTAGATTCACACGCGGGGCCGGTATTTTGATTGTGGCGGCACTCTAACTTCCTGTTTCGACTTTCCTAATTTGGATTGAACCTACCTGAATAACTAAATTCAGGTAGGTGTAACCGACCCAGAATTTCGAGCCTGGCTTGAAATCTCACCCGCGGCGAGTCAAGCCAGGCTTGAGACTCTAGTGTGACCGTAGCTATACAGTATTATACTCTACTGTAAGTTTTCTAATCTTGTTATTTATTTATTTTTTTTATTACATGCAGTTGTTTCAATCACTTACACATTTACACAAAAGTGTGACAAAAAATGTGTGGTCAATGCTTTTAGGGCCTGCTTCTAAGGTGTTTGAACGGCAAATACCGGTAACCGATTTTGGCTGTGCACTTTTTAGCTGCAACAAAAAAAAAACGATTTGTAAAAGCAAAAATGCAGTTGCAACGCAGGCAGGCTGTTTGTGCACTCATAAAAAAGCAGTTAAAAAATTGATTATTTTGTGTTTATCTGTAGAAACACGCCCTTAATGTTCCACATTGTGGTGGCAAAGTGACAAAACTAAATTAAACACAAAATTAATTTTATATTACAGCATTATTTTACATTTCCCAAGTTATCTTTGTACAGTAGATTTTCAGTTTTTAATGTCATGGATGTATAAAATATATACATCCATGGTAATGTTAAATGAATAATTTGTTAAATCAACCATGCAAGGAATTTTAAATATGCAAACAAAAGATTTTTGTATGAATAATGTGTTCTCATTTCCTTTATAATTAGTTAGAGGGCCACATCCTTGTATGATTGTGGTCATTGCTACAATTAGAAACAACAACTAAGCCAAAATAAGACATTGCTGTTTTTTAAATTATAAGTACTGAATGAAATATCAAAGATAGTAGAAAAAGTTAAATCAAAGCCAATAATGTGCTAGAAAATTTATTATTGATTGCAAGCAAATAAATTTAAATTTAGCTGTCTGTAAAAGCTTGTTTCCAAAATGTAACATTATCGTCAATATTTTTCATTGATCACGCTATACAAGGTACTGTACAATTAGTAGAGTAGCCAATACATACTCATTATATTAAAAGACCATCAAGGACAAAATATTGAATCAATAACAGTTTCGCTTATTTTTTTGAGACACAAGGTATGTAAGTAAGTCAGCGAGAACCCCATGTTAAGTTCAAGTCTGAAGTCCACTGCGATTGTATTTGAAATTATATTAACTCATCCATCACGTTTGTGTGTGTATTTCACCAAAATATAAAAATATTTTGAAGAAGAGCCATAGTTTCAATATTTCCTTATTTTATATTCAGGATAAAATAATAAATCAACTGTCAATATTTAATTATTTGTACATAAATATGAAATATATATATCCTCAAAGGCCAACTCAGCAGCGTCGTACAACGCAGCTCGACACGATTTGTTTTCGTGTCGGGTCTGTGTGAGTAAAACGCAGATCCGATGGTGTGCTTCGGGGGCAGTCTCATTGTAGAATATTAAACATGTTTAATATTTCTCACGACGGCTCAAGACTGTCCCCGACGATGAATTGCGTCGGGCTGCGTCGTACGATGCTGTCTGAGTTGGCTTTTAGAGTTGTAGCTATAGAAAACTAAAGGTGGGTAGGTGATAACATTATGAACTCTAAATAATAAGAGTGGATTTTAAGGATGGAAAGGTGGGTTAAAGGGTGGAAAACCTGTCTCTTATACACATCTGCAAATAAAAATAAAATTTTGTTTTCTTATTTTAGCAAATAGTTTTGCGAAAAACATCCAGATGGAGTAGAAATAAAAATAAAATTTTTATATGTGAATGTAAAATACATGTAGGATGGTTAAATGCTTCAAATTTATATAGTAATTAGGAAGAAATATACATCTTATCATTGGATATTTCAAGGCAGCAGAGGGCATAATAAAAATTTTTTTAATCTTTTTATTTTTTTTCTAAAATTTCCACTTTTTCGTGGCAGCGGGTGCGCTAATTGGCCCAATGTAAAATTTTATTTTATTTGAAATCATAAATATTTGCAGTCGGTGGGTTCGCTAAACAAGGTATAAAAAAAGTATCGCCCTCTGTATAGAAGCATTTTACTGTATGCTTACTGTATCTGCAGCTGAGGTGCCGTGATCAATCCACTGAATCTACAACTCACTGTAATTCTAGCTAGAAAGAATTACATGAATTCCAGAATGAGAGTATAAAGTGCTCAATCATATTTCCTTGTCTCCCACTATACATACCATCATTGGGTCATTTAAAATTAATATTAAATACTTTTCCTGCTAAATGAATGTACACAGAGCACAACCTACACTTTTTTTTATAAGAACACGTTTTATAAGAACATTGAGGCTGAAATTGCTCAAAAATTAAGAACAAAATAAGAACAAAGTGATGCTGAGGTAAAATGTCAGCTGAGGTTTTTATCTGGAAAAAATAGAAAAACCAACATATTTTATCTGTACCTTTATGTGTGGTAGATATGACTAGGTATAAATAGCCTCTTTATTACAGTACAGTGTGTAAATTATGACCCATTTAAACTGTATTCTGGGAAAATAGGAATACTGTATTTCCCTGGTGTGAGTGGGTGTGTTGATGAATAATTTAATGAGTTATACTAATGTAGAGTATTGCTAAAAAATGAATCAATTAAACAGTAAATTCAGTGGAATGATTCAATGAGCAAGTGAAATAAATAAAAAAATGAATGAATTATGAACAATTGAATTGATTGAATACATTCATGAATAAATTATGATTGAATATTAATATTTTAGTGAATGAATATTGTATGTACTGTAAATGAATGAATGAATAGCAAGTGAACAAATAAGCAAAATGAATAAGTTGGACTATATAATAACGAACTCACAATAACACTTCGTAATACAATATATTATAGTATATTATTGTAATAATATTATAAAATATAATATAATATGTATATATTATATATATTATTATATAGTATAATTATTTGTGGTAATACGTGAATAGGGAGCTTTCGATTTGCACGACAGTGCGATGCCAGAACGTATCCACTCATGCGTGACCGTCCTCCATCCTCTTCACAGCATAGATTTGGCAAAATTGTGTACTAGAATCCATGAGACCACGAGAAGTCAATGTTGTCACATGCGCAGAAGATTTTTAGTGACCTCATTACGTTCTACGTCATACTGTCATCGTGCAATCGGAAGCTCCCTACTGGCAATAATCTTGCAATTTACAGGTACTACAGTATAGTGTATAAAATCCATTGCATTTATTGGCAGCCATTAAGCGAGCTTGCTGGCATTCATCCTTTGTACAGTAGTTCATCTCATAATTTTCTTGAACATTTATTATTATTATTATTATTATTTCATTTATGTAAGAAAAGAATTTGCATATTTCTTAAGTCATTGTCTCGTTACTGTATTTCAACAGTTTGACTTTCCATGGGAGAGAGTTTACACGATCTGCGTAATGTAAAAATGCCCCTTCTTTATACAAATCTGCGGTACTAACAGTATAAAGCATCTGATTGTTGGAGTCTCATTACTGTAACCTCAGATCAGACTCAATGACTCCCAACCAAAGCTTGTATACAGTATCTAGTCTTCTTCAACCCTTTAATAATTTTTATGGTTGTATAAATTTATATTATCTTATTATGTCCTATAAGAAAAGAATTTGCATATTTCTTAAGTCATTGTCTTGTTAAGTTACTGTATATTTCAACAGTTTTACTTTCCATAGGAAAGAGTTTACACAATCTGCGTAATGTAAAAATGGCCCTTCTTTATACAAATCTGCAGTGCTAACAGTATAAAGCATCTGATTTTTGGAGTCTCATCTGTACCCTCAGATCAGACTCAATGACTCCCAACCAAAACTTATATATCTAGTGTTCTTCAACCCTTTCATAATTTTTATGGTTATATAAGTTTATATTATTTTATTATGTCGTATAAAAAGTTATGGACTATGATCCATGGTTGTGTTTCCTTTTATGATGAGTAGACTTTACTTCTTGGAACAATAATGATTATTGGAAGTGTGTTGTGCATCCGAAGGCTTTGAGCTCCCAAACGAAATGACCTGTGTGGTTAAACCGCACCGATGTTAAGACTACCAATGTTCCGACTGTACTGTATTTAAGCCGCTGCCTTACCATTTGGCCACTGAACTCGCCACATTAAAATTACTGAAAAGGTGCTGCCCTCTAAATTAGGAGGTAAAAACTTGGAAATTGCTCATTTATTTAAAATCACATGAAGTTATTAACTTTTGATAAAGTCAGATTGAAAATATTGTTCATCATTTCATAGGAAAAGTGTAGTATTATTAATACATTTGATAATTGGTGAGGATATTGTTTTCCTGTTTTATTTCGTTGAAAGCTAAAAAATTGAAGTTTACAATAGACCTTATCGCGATTCAAAAAATATCGACAGAGGGCGCACCACAACAAAGCATGATGGGATTTAAAAGGTGGAAAAAAACAACATGACACACAATATTCTCTAATAATGGCTAACGCAAGTGAAATTCTTTGTTTTTTCAAAACAAATTTTTATCATTCAGACGACACCACAGCACCGCTGTGGTTGCGCGAGAGATTAAACGGCGCTTTTGCCCGCTTTTCAATCCCTATATGCATTGTGTCAATTGGGTTCGTGATAAAAATTATGTATCAAATTCAATATACAGTAGGCTTAAATTTTTAAGTACTGTACTCTCTTCAGACTCACTAGATTGATCCATTATAAATGCAGGATAATATTATTAATTACTATTCATTTGGATAGCAAACTGTAGTAGTAGCAAAGTACTTATCAAATAATTATTATGGCAATAATAGTAAATTGACAAGGATGATGGTGATGTGAAAAAAATGTTGTCATGTATTAACCGTAATGGTAATCTTTTATTATTTAAACATTTTAATAAATGTCAGAAAATGTTAACATGTCCAATAAGTAACATTATATTGTGTATTGTATTTCATAAAAATGATGTCTAAAAGCCGATGTACAGTACAGTAGACGTGAATCCACATTTCATTTCAGTACAGTATTCATTTCTATTCTACAGTACTTGTTTATGGCAGGATTATCAATTCTTCTCAAGATGCCATCGGCGCACCTGTCAATCGATTCTCAACTCTGTTCAGACGTTAAGATGTATATTAGATACGTCTTCTACTTATGTATTCTTAAGTGTTATATTGCTATGAGTGTCGTGTCAAAGCCTCTTGATTGTTCAGATTGCAGCTCATCTTTTTACCCAACTAACTTCGGCCATTGAAGGGTCGAAAATGTGAACTTTGGATGAAAGAGAAGACATAAAAACAATTCTGGAGAATCATTTAAAGATTGAACAAAAAGTACTGGTAATATATATATGTCCATCTGACGTTGTGAGCCAGCAAGTTATTATAGTTGTGTTGAAACGTAAACAACCATACGTTTACTTGTTATGCAGCACATATCGTCATTAATAACTTAGACGTGATGACGAGTGACCTAGCAGATGCGACCTACAAACAGACTGTAGTTATTTTCAACTCATCAAAATTGTGCTAAATTGTTCCACAAACCCTAATTTCAACATTTAGTATTGCTGTGTACTTTGAATTGACTAATTAAATTTTGCAATCTAATGAAATTAAGTCACAAGAGCAGTTAATTAGAAACACAGCCTTGGGCAAGAATAACCCACCTGTATCGAATATAAGGTTGAAAATTAAAAAAAAAAAAAAGGAAAATTGGCAAGTATTTTATCATAGTGCACCATTTTTCAGCAGTAAGGTAGGTGTTTAAGCCATTCGTCATATGTGCAATGTGACCCTTGACCCTTGTGACCACTAAAGTATGCAGTACACTCTATGGGAAAAAGCAAGGATTGTCTCCCGATCTACTGCTGAATAACTGGACCCCACTTAAATAATTTGTCAGAATTTTGTGACCTATTCTGGTTGTGTTTCACATTGAAGAAAAACAATCTATCAAATAGCCAACTTTCTGGGAGAATATGAGTCTACGAAAAATAATTTGGATCTGCAAAGTCAAAAGAGTTGCAGGGGTGCGTGAATATGAATGTTGGGGAGTGCTAGACATTATTTTTTTTATCTCTTCAGTGTGATAAACATCTTACTGCTAATCATTAGGAGCCTTCAGTAATGAAGTCAAATAACTTCGATGATGTACTTTTGTGGCGAGTCAACAGTCTTATCATCCTATTAGTGGATTATCAACAATCAGTACTTAAAATTTTCGGGTTCCGTGAAAACATTAAACATGTCCAAAAGAGTCAGCGAATGCAGAAACATTGACAACCATTGTATATGACTGGCACTTCATAATACACACACCCACTATTACAGGTCTCCCTCCAGTATAGAGGCACCTACAATTATAGACCAATTTTCTGTGGTTCCAAATTAACAAATGTCTTATGTTTATTATGCTAATTAGAGACCAAAATATCTTAAAACCATGGAAACCCAAGCAAACCAGAAGTGGTTTTAATTGGAGGGAGACCTGTATTTGCACTGTAGCTTATTTTTTAAAGTCATGTGACTTACTTAATAGGTTGTCAGCTTTAACAACTAACAAGTAACATATTACTACTATAATAAGAGTTTTCACATGGTGATTTATGTATCGGCAACTATAAGCTCTGGCAAGATTTTGTTAAGCTTTGAAAAAAATCCTTTAGATGCTAATGGAGCTTTACATGAATTGCAGAGTAGCATTATTGCATGTTTTTGTAGACGGTATGTTCAATCAAGATTTAAGTTTTATACCATGCTTGTCGTGCTTAATAAATGCCGATACCTCCTTTAATTATATCAACTATCACTGCTTTACATGGATAAACTTTAAAGCAACTAATTGTAAGATACACGACACTGTCTACTATGGAACTAAAGTAAAAGACTTCAGTCTTCAAATTTTTTATTTATAAAGATAAGTTAAATAAATGATGATAGTGGCGATATGATGATGGGAAACGTCAGCAAAAACCTCAGCGTAATGCGATATAAACTAAGACAGAAAAATAAAAAGAAAATGTTTTCCACACAATTTTTAAATAATTGAATACAGTTACATTATCTGATGATATGCGACACTGATGATCAAGCCTCATTCTTATGAGGCTTACACGATTGGGAGTTGTTCATAAAAGGAATATCAGTGACTATAAGCTCATACAACATTTAATTGAACTGTGTAAAAGAAATCTAAACAGCAGATGGCAAACACATCTTGATGTAACATAAACTGTGGATGAACATTAGTTCTGTATTTTCTAGACGTATTATGTTTAATCATGTTTTGAGTTTAAACCACATTTATGTTGTTTAAATATTAATGTGAATTGAAATCTTAATCCTACAGTATATTTTAATCATGTTTTGAGTTTCAATCACATTTGTTGTACTTATTAATTAATGCCAGTTGAAATTCAATCCTTAAATTGTTTCAGCTTGTATTAGACATTTTTTTTTGTGTTGATATACAGGTATTTAAATTACATGATTCTCTACATATAGTACTGTAAACTAAAATCTTATTGCGAAACTTACAATGAACATAGGGCCCTGCGATTAAAAGAGACAAGCATCTTAAGCTGGGTTTCCATAAAATTGCTACAGTGTTTTCTCTGACTGCAGATGTCCCCGCCCCAATTTTGAAGGATCCCTGATTTTGACCGACCAATCAGCATTGCCCACAACTGTCGGCAATAGCATGTAACAATTTTATGTGGAAAAACAGATTTCAGCTTCACTACTTACAGTAATTATTTTCTTAATCATATCTGCCTAAATCTGAATATTCCCATGTCGGTTTTCTAAGAATTTAATAGTACTGTAATTTTAAAATGGTTTTAATCGAGAGTCAGTGTGCCAATTATATTTCTTTATAATTTAACATGCCTCAAGATGATGTAATAATAATATGGATTTACTGTATCTAAAATTTGAAACCTACTCATTGCACCAAAAGTTAATCAATCAACTCAAATTGAAATTATTTTATCAATTCATATAACTTTAATGACCCTATCCATTTTAGCATGTAGACAAGATGCAATGAATAGGTAATAAGTCTGCTATATTAAATGTTTCCATAGGTAGAGATATTTTGAGAGTGTTAAATGTGTATGTGTGCATGTACTCTGTATATGTGTGAATATTCTCAGTTTTGTACATTAATTTCTCTACGGTCCTCACAAACAGCTTTATAATTTTATGATACTGTACATGTATAATAATTTTATAACGTTTGCATTTCTCGCAGATTTACGTGCCATTTTGTTTTTATTGCCACTTCTTTCTTGTCTTTTTACAAGAATGTCAAGCTTTTTTTTTATTGCTCATTTGGTGGTATAATGTTGATATTAATGAAAGGTCGCTTTCTCTTTTTTTTTTTAGAGTCAACGGCGGGTTCTCTTAGCAGTACTTTGGTATTCCCTAGCAATTTCATTGTTGGGAATCTACTACACGCATATACATACCAAAGATAAAAATTTATTGTTGCGAGTTTCTAATTCCTTACAGCTAACACATAGTGCAATTCCTTCAAAAAAATATGCAAGCTTAGTCAGTAGACACCAAACTCAAGAACTAAGAATTGTTACACCCAACAACGATGAACCTAACAATTTGTCAGTGATAACTTTTAACAGGAATTACATCAAACAACATCACTTACCTAGGTTATTGGACGGAGCTACTGCGGAAACAAAATCAGATGAACGCGAGAGCTTAAACATGATGGACATTCGTAATATGCCGGGACAAATTGGCATCAATTGGTATGAAATAGATAAAGCGATTGATTGGAAAGCTCTCGAAAAAGAGGAGCTTAGGAGGGTCGAACAACAACATTTGAATTACTCATTGGTGCGTGGTACTGAAAAACCACTTTATTTACATGTAGAGAAGAATAATAGCAATATAAATATTACAAATTCAAAATCCAGAATAGAAACAAATTCATCAAATAACTTAAAAAAATATTTTTTCCCACAACAACCAAAGAACAAGACCTTTGGCTGGAGGCAAAGTAAACTTGCGAAATCAGGTCAACTTAATAACCAGTCGCGTTCAGTCATTGAAGATGGTAGAGACATCATTAGAAAACCATGGAAGAAATTATATCCAAAAGCTAATATAGATGTCAAACAGAACAGAATTAATGAAAGAAAAAGTATTACTAATCTTGCCAGACAATCTAAGAGAAAAGTTGCAAAAAATGAAAGTATAGCTAAGGATGTGTCAGACTTAACCCAGAAACATAAAAAAGAGGCTAAAAGAAAAGAGGCTGAAAGAAAAGAGGCTAAAAGAAAAGAGGCTGAAAGAAAAGAGGCTAAAAGAAAAGAGGCTGAAAGAAAAGAGGCTGAAAGAAAAAAGGAAGATATTGAAGAGCAACGTTTAAGGAATATCTCCCGCGAATTAATGAAGAAGGAGCTTTTTCTGATGAAAACAAAAACGTTGTCACCGAAGGCAGCAGCTAAGAAGGCTGATGGTTATTTTAAAGTTTCAACCAACAAGGTATGTCAAGTAAGACTGGTTACCATAAATCGTTCAGTTTTGGTGCAGTGTTTTCACTGCAATCGTTTCACTGCGTATGAACGATGGCATGTAGCAATTTTATGAAAGCAGGCTTAAACTTGTACAATTATGTTTTAATGGCCAAATCAGTAACAGGGTTTTTGGATTTTGCAAAAATTGCAAAAATATTTTATTAGAAAAATGTTATCAGTTAAAATTTGATTAAATAGCTGTCTGTGATGAAATATAACAAATATTTAGTGATATGTATTAAATAAATGGACTATGCTCATTGAGATGTACCACATAATCCAATTATTTTTAACTTAATTATTTCGACAGCATCTTCATTTGCACTGCAACTGGTGCGCCGTAATATCCAGTTCAGGTCGCCTACTAAACCAAAGCGCTGGCAAAGAAATTGACCAGTTTCCATGCGTGATCCGAATGAACACATCGCCGACCAAGGGCTATGAAGAAGATGTTGGTTCGAAAACAACTGTCCGTGTCATAGGTCATGTTAATCTTCTGAAAATCAACCAGAGTAATAGTCTCCAAGATGAATTTTTTGTTGACAAGGTAACGGCGGCGGAGAAGAACCTTATTCCGTGGCTGTATAACGTCCGAGTGAATAAAAAGACAGATAAGTTTTACAAGGTAGTTAAGAATTTTTCCCATACATTCCAAGACACAGAGTTCTATCTTCTTTCTGGCAGCAAGATGCGACATGCAGAACAGATATTTAGGTCGGAGATCGGAATATCAAGGTAAGAATACAGTTTATTTATTTATTTATTTATTTATTTATTAATCTTAATGATTTCTTAAACTGTCATTTACCACTGCAATTTTGTATTTATATTGTAATTGTTCTGATGTGATGCTGAATAAATTTGATTTGATATGTTTTTACAACATTTAAAACTAAGGCCTATATAATTCAAAATGTCAAGTGAATTATCTTTTCCACACAATTATTAAAAGGTTGGCTAATAATACGTGAAACAAAACCATTTTTTGGAACATTTCTCTACAATATGGGATATGATAATTTAGAATGACAGGTACGGCGACCAATGGCTTTATCATGAAATGAGAATTAAGACATTAAATCACGATCGAACAGGAATTTGTTTGTACGTAGACTAAAGATCACGAAAACAACCAGTGTTGAGGTCAAATAAACTTGGTTTTTTTTGCCAAATCTCTACCAACAAGAGGTTTTGAAGTTGTTGGACGCAGCAGGAACGGTTTGGTTTTCCAACATCGCGGTCGGGGTTTCAATTCCTCGATGTGCATTTCGCTTGTGTCCTTGGGCAAGCCACTTTATCTGCAATGGCTTCTCTCCACCCAGGAGTATAAGTGGGTACCTAAAGGATGTTCGAGTGCAAAATGCGCTAAAATATTTCATGCAACAAACTACAGAATTTCCCCCATAGGCATCATTCAAATGACTGGGGTATGAGACTCAGTTGCGCTATATAAAAAACCTACATATTATTATTATTATTATTATTAACGCAAAATAGTCAAAGTTGTTTTTTACTGCTGAGCCAAAGAATCTTTTATGATATTTCAAGGGTCGTCTTTTTAAGCATTTAATGAATAAATTTGATACTTTGGCTATGGGTTTTAGTCTGTGGTTACCATTTTGCAAACTGAAGTGTGTGGGCCCTAGGCTACAGGTATAGCTATAAATAATATCAATTTCATTTCAAATGGCTTAACGGTGACAAGGATGATAACTATAATGATACGTCGATGTTTGAAATTATTAATAATAGTATTTATAATAACAATAAGAATGATGATAATAATAATATGATGTGTAATAAAAACGTATTGGCATTAATATTGTGTTTAATATTGTTATTTGTGACTGGCTTTGGCAGAACCCGCTGTTGGTTGCAATTTGCTAATTTTCCACAAGTACCCAAAACATTCGAGAATCAGACTTCTGAAAATTTTCTGTTTTTGCATTTTATAAAAGAAAATATATTGAAGAACATTTCTGTAAAATATCAGTAACTAAATCTAGCTGAAAAGTATATTGAAATTATTTTTAGAATATAAATCTTAATAATAAACTATTAATTTTGGAATCTTCGGAAGCTGTTTTTTCAAAACCTATATGGCTGATATTCAATAAATATTCATAACTAATACTCAACCAATTTCAATCAAATAACACTATTTTAAAGAAGAATTCATGCAGAATCTAAAACAGCTGATTTTGCCACTGAAGCCAGTCACATTTTAAAATAAGTTTATTTGGTGTGAAATACACCAGGTATAACCCTTGAAAGTCATTAGACTTACAGTATTTCCAGTGGGCTCCTATTGCTGTTGTTGATGTGTGTTGGCAGTAGAAGTGGCATTGGCTGTATGCCTGCTATAGTATAATAATAAAGGCAATCAAAATGGACATTAATGCCTGATTATGCTGAACAGACTGTTATTTATAGATATTTAGAGATTATCAAATGTAATACATGATAATGAAAGTGTCATATGGTGAAGAGATAATGTGTGAAAGCATTAGCTATATAACAGCAATATAATGTGCTGAAATGGTAACCGTGCCCAAGGGGATAAGGCCCCATAAAAAAAATTATTAGTTTATCACCCGCTCCCTCATCACTTTTGGGAAAAATCTGAATTTTTTTTTTTTTTTTTTCCATCAACATATATTTTAAATGGTCCCTTTTCCATCTTATTTCACTTGGTGCCGTTCGAACCAGCGCCGATATTATGGCTATAGCTTGCGGCGTCCCTGCTAACCGCTCGGCCATTCGACTCACCTAATAGTAATTGCAGTGTCTGACAATTGTAGCCAAATTGAGATTTTTTCACAATAGCTACTTATTATTATCTTATGGTTCATCAATTATATTTCAATTCAACATTTATTTACTTCCTTTTTAATGGAGATAAATAATACAAAGGTTTTTAAATAAATTGAAAAAACACAAAATTGATAATTGACAATTGCATATTGTAGCATTTTTAGTACTTACTCTCACTGTGTTTTTTATTCCTGATGATGACTAAATAAAGTTGAAACATTGAGTAATATGGCCTCACTTTCTATATTTGGAGTCACCTTTGTTTTATTGAGATTTTTAAGCGAGAGAGTACAAGGAGAGAGAGTGAAAAAGATCTTTGCATTTGTATAGAGTTTCCAACTTTTCCATTATAAGGAGTCTTCCATTTACCAAAGTACTGTACATTTGATTAGGCATACATTTTGATCAATTTATATTTGAATTTAAATTTAAAAGTTTAAACGTTTTTATGTCTTTTTTTTGTTGAAGGAGAGAAGCTCGTACGTGGTTGTCAACTGGATGGATGACATTGTTATTTGCAATGGATATTTGCGAGAAAATTCATGTGTATGGACTTGTCCCGGAAAACTATTGCAAGTAAGTTGATTTCAAAAATAATTTCACCAATTTTTGTTTTATAAAGGTTGTTGTATTGGATTTATATAATGGTAATAGCATAAAGAATATTTACATGCTAGTATATAGTATTGGTTTCTTCATCATGTTTGCTCGTAGTCAAATTTGTGATGATATATGACAATTTATTTTCACGGAGATGATAGCTCTTAAACATTCTCGAAAATTGTCATCATCAGTTTAGTTCCCTTTTGTTACTGTCATTTTAAGCAAATGTAACCAAAGTCTCCCATTTTCTTTTTGTTAAATAATACAGTAGGTTTTTTTTGTGTGTGTCTCAAATTGTATATATTGTAGGGTAGTATAGTATAGTTGTAAAAGTCATATCTCTTTATATAGATTATATAGTATATAGGGTTCATATAGTTATAATATTATATAGATTATATAGCATAGGTTGTTTAGATAAAGTTTCAGTTATGTTTTTTTTTTATATAGGTTGTGTTTAGGTTATGATATACAGTACAGTAGTATATTGGCTAGGTTGTCTTATATAGTGCAAGATGTCTGGTATGTCTTTCATAATTGTTGTTGTTGCTGAAATATGCCTCCTATATTGTAATAGTTATGTTCAGTATAATATTAATATCCAGTGTACAAGACTTTACAAAGAAAGTATTCATATCACATTATCATCCCAGGTAATTTGATACAATAATAATCATCGTTGACAGGCAACAAATCTGCCAAGTGTTGCTAGTCATGCATGAATTTAATGGATGCATTATCAGGCCAAAGGTCATAGTACATGTTTGGCAGTACATGTTTGGCATCAATTCAGGCTCACATTTATTGAATCATATACTAATTGTGTCAGGACCAAAAGTTTGTGACGATTTACAATCCAGACGCATGCACCAATCTGGAATAAATATATCGTAGATTCGTAGCACCATCCTTTTAGGTTTCCTACCATTATTGGCATTTTTTGAGTTCCAATTTATGTCCATTATAATATCGTAAAAAATAATTTTACACTAACACAAATTTATAAAATATTACACAAGGACTTGTCACGCTACAAAAGCATGAGTATGCATGCCTTTTACTTAATAAACACAAAATAAATACAAAACATAGAACTCTTCAGATAGTACCTGAACACTTCAGGTTCATATAAATTTATACTTTAAAAAGAAGTACACTCATTTAAATGTTAATAATTATTTTGAATAAATATTTGGCATTGATAATTTTAATGAATCTCATTACACACATGTTATATCTAGATTCCAAGGCTGGCGTTAGTTTTGGTGATGGACTAGTTCAGACTAGGTGGATAAGGCCCGGCTCAACTCACCAGGTTTATCTACGTGCCAGTCTGAACTAGGTGGTTTATCTCAAGCCGGGCTGTGTTCCTATAGTAACTAGGCCTGGCGTGCCACCGTGTTTGACTTTTCTAAGTCGGGCTTTAATCGTTGGGGGTGGGGCATCTTGCATTGACTTCTGGTTAAAAAAATTACCAATCAGCATTCAATTAGCGTGAGCGTGCGTACGTTTCGAGACCAGTGTTTCCAAACTTGTTTCCTGGTTATGGTTCATTATGCTAATTCTTGCACCTGGCTAATCCCGCTAGTCTGAACGCCCGGCAAAGTTAAGCCGGGCTTAACTCAAGCCCGGCTTATCTCCAAGTCTGAACGTAGCCTATGTTGTCATCTGGCAGGTAAAGATGGCTGAAAGGGTGAATCCGGTGGAGGTGCATGATGGGTCATGTGTCATCTTAACACGTTGGCTGCCAGCGACAAATATACCACAAGGCGTTGCTGAGGACACCAGGGACGAGTATACTCGTCAAAATCGGAGTAACATTGCAAAAATGCGGACGAGATAACTCACACTTGCATAGTCAATAAAACGTTCTACCACAGTGCCATCGACGTGTATACTCCCCCCCCCACCCTAATATTTTCCCGCCAATTTATTAGACACATCATTTTGATGATATATGACTAGATAGAATTTCAAAAAAGTATGTACATGGAAACTCGTTTTGGCATATGCGAAGGAACCTTAAAAAAAGGTCTGGCAGTCAACGTGTTAAGCACCTTATTACTGTACAAAAGTCATACAAAAATACAACACCACACATTTCCTGATACTGAATCCCATGTGGATACTTTATTAGTAAACATAATACAGTAAAGCTGTATACGGCATAGACACATGCTCCCCGCTGGGAGCCTATTTTTATGCATGCACATACATAGAATGTTTTCCCAATAAATTTGATATGTTTATGTTGTTTTTGAATAATTTGTTTTACAGTTTAAATTTGATATGTTTATGTTGTTTGTTGAATAGTTTGTTTTACAGTTTAAGATGACAAAGACTTTATGGTCGTGTTCATAAAGTAACTTATTGTTATTCTAACCAACACAACCAAACTCTTATGTGCTTTCACGAGCAAGGAATTAAATATGCATAATTGTCTTCTGTGATTGGTTGATTGCCAACTTTTCAATGCTTGGTGGATATAATGCTCTCTTCCAATTTTTTTTTTCCTTCGTGTGGATGGATATAATGCTGTCTCTTATACACATCTAGATGTGTATAAGAGACAGGAATTAACACCTTGGTGACAATTGAAGTTCGGGATGAGCTCCAAACTGGAGTAAATTTGTTGTCGTCCTTCATCCATCCCAATTAACTGGGTCCTGTTCCAACTCTGAGAGGGCATCTAGACAGTTGTACCATTTCCTGGCTTGTAGTACAGATCGTTTGACATGTTCTTTTAATGAAGCAGATGTTGGGGGGGGGGGGTATTCTCTATTGGATTTCCCCTAGTTGTAAATAGGTGTCGCCTTTCATCATTTACCTTCTTACCATCAAATGTGCTGCAGTACATAGCGAAAACAAACTGTTCTAGAT